TTATCGTTTTTATGTACACAGCAACACTCGACATGAGCAAAGAAGACCGTATGAAGATGACAAAATCCTCGTCTCTGCTGCGAGAGGGTGCTGTGTGGGTGTCGGGCTTCAACGGGAAGTTGATGCGGATCTCCGAAAAAAGAGCTGATATCGAGAAGAGCTCCTTCACAATACAATCTTGCATTCCTATGATGGGTGAGTAGAGGGAAGTAAAAAGTCGGAAACATTTAAATTACCTTGAACAGATGAAACTTTTTACCACTGAAATACTACCGTAATGTTCTAGCAAGGAAAAATAAAAAAAATCAACAGGAAATGGCTCAAAACTGGTCAGATAAAACAAAAAAGCATTTATAATTGTACGGTGATTATGCGGCCAAGTATTATACAAATTTTCAAAATACGCTTTTTTTCAGGTCGTCACTTTTTTTACAAAATGTCACCTAGAACGAGGTGCACGGCCGACCAGCTGTTGCCTTGGTTCCCGATCGCCGACTCCGGACGTACGATCGCTGTTGGTCTCATAATTCAAGGCCAATTGGCGTTTAATAAGAGGACTAAAAAAAATTGGTTCGAAAAGCCGTATCGTGCTGATGTTAAGGTTAATCTTATTAATGTTACTTAATATTATTAATGCGAAAGTTTAGATGGATGAACGAATGGATATTTGTTAGAGTTTGAAGCCTAAACTGCTGAACGGATCTCGATGAAATTTGACATAGATGTAGAGGATAGACTGAAAGAACACATTTTTGTGTTTTTGTTTTTTTCAATTATGTATAATATAAGTGATGATAATACAGAAGAAAAGTTTTAAAATTAAATGCCTCTTTGTAAAAAAACCTTTCGAAATCAAAAAAATTCTTGTTCTAGGTCGTTATCACCAGTGGTCCCCAGTGCTATTACGATGCAGCCGACAGCCCCGGAGTAGTGGCTCTTCACATCTACTAGGTGGATAAACCCTGGACCATCGGGTGCGATGGAAATTAAATCATCCCCAAACCCTATGGATTATCAAATTTTGTAATAAAATCAATTAATACCTTGCAATTATGGCTTCCGCAAATCCACGAGTGGCGCGTATTTATGTTACTCTAGTACTCAAGTTTTTAGACAAATAAAATAACGAATATATTCTAAGAGGCATATTCATTGACATTAAAACATTTTTGCTGTATGACAAGGTGGCAAACAAGCGAGCGGCCACCTGAATTGGCCGAAAAGGTGAAGCGCCCGCTGCTCCTCAGCAAATGCAGATGAGATACCTGCCTTTAATCGGCAACAACGTACATAGAGGATATTTCCCATTGTTATGAGTCTCCTTTACCGTCAAATCCACTTTCTTTTCCCATTCAAAGTACTAAAATAAGGCCTCCGGCACGCACACTTATCGACGAAATGCGGAATTTACGCGTTTTGTGTGTGGTCATAGTATTGCTGGGGCCTATTCGTGCGAAGTTAAAGCAGGATCAAAACTGTTACGTTGTTTACTTTGCTTCTTCGTTGTAAAAAAGATCAATTAAAAAGTCATAGGTTTGTAATTAAGTTTTATTTAATATCTAACTATCTCCTACAGGTGCATTATTTGAACGCTTCTTAATCTTTTGCTGTCTACGTTTGAGATGCCGTTGAATGCGACCGGCGCCCTCTTTCTTCAGTTCTTCATATTGATTCACTAATGTTTCAACTCGAAGTTCAGCTGAAAACAGTATTAACATAAATACACTTATCAGAAGTTACTGTAACCATGTAGAACATGCTATCTCTATTTACTTATAAAAAATGAAAGGGATGGGTGGAGATTTAGCTAAACATTGTGCCTATAAGGCTCTAAGGCTATGTTCCTACTAGAATTTATACTAATATTATAAAGAGGAAAGATTTGTATTTTTTTATGTATTGAAATAACTCAAAAACTACTGGGCCGATTTTATATCATATACAAAAATAGAGTTTGCAAACTGCTGAACGGATCTAGATTAAATTTGGCAGAGATGAAGAGGATAGTCTGTAAGATATAGTCTTGATTTTCCTTTTTTTACTTTTGTTACATTACTTATGTTTACGCTTAGAGTCGCGGGCAATAGCTGGTTTTGTTATAAATGCTAGTCTAATAAGATAGATGAATTTTTGTTAATAAGTATTTCTAAAACAACTCAACAGATCTCAAAATTTGGGACAGATATATAACATAGCCTGGAAAAACACATAGACTTCTTTTTTTTAACTATCACAAAGTCACTGGCAATATTTGATTTTGGTTATGCAGGTAATGGTGACACACTTACATTTATTTTTAAAGTAAGGCTGTTTGCCTTCTCTGAAGACTTTTTCAACATCCTTCTTTTGTTTTTCTTTTTCTTGTTGTACTTTAGCCTTCCTGCCAGCCCTGTGCTGTTCATTCAAACTCTGCAGCAAACGCTTCAGCTTAAGAATTTTGTCGGGATCTGTTGTCTGTTTCAACTCTGCCCTAATAGCCTTTATGTCTTCATAACGCATATCTGAGAGAAAATTGTAGTTTTCTGCAAATTCTTTTTTGTCAAACTCGCCACACAAGGGGTCAAATCTGAAAGCAATCATACATTTGTTATAATATTATACATGTGAAGGTGTAGATGGATGGATGTTAAAGGTATCTCATAAACGGGACTTTGGATCTTGGTGAAATTTGACATAGATGTAAGACAGTCTTAAAAAACACATAGGGTTTTGATTACAGTTTTTATTAAATTTTGTGCAGATGTAGGTGCGGGTAAAACCTAATAGAAAATAATTTAAGATTTTGTCTTTAATTTTTTTAAGAATACAACTATACCTTGGATCTCGAACCTCTGTTTTCTTCACCTTTCCCGTGTCCCTTAGCATTCTTACAGGCCTTTTTGAACTCATTTCTCTTGGCCTATTCTTGTTTTCCCTTTTAAATATTTTAACTTTAGGACCTGTATCTGGGTTGTTCTTTTTCCCAAAAACTACTTCTTTATACAGTTTCGAACCAACTCTTTCTTTCAATTTTTGAAGATCTTCAAACGATAAAGACGATAGTTCATTTCTGATGGCCAACTGAAAATTTGAGACATTGAAAATAAAAAACATAATATAAGGAGAAAGACCGTTTTTAATATAATGTTGTGATGTTTCCGAACATACCCTTTCCGAATCATTTTCTTGCAAAGTGTTTTCTTCTGTGTCAGACATTTTCTTTTATACGGTACTAAAATACATTTAATATTTAACTATTAAAATTGTACGCTATAATTAATTAGTGTATATTACGATATAATGAAATATTTCAATTCAATTCCCAGCACATTCACATGAAAATGACAGCATTGACATTATGACAAGTGACAGCTAACAACTAAATGACAAAAAAAATGTCAAAGAAGATACAAAAAGCACTGACCTTTAAATACAGACAGACAGTGCATACTGCATATGCACAAAAACTACGGTTTCTAAAAACTGGTTTCAAATATTTGATATTCACCATTTTGGCGCTAACAGTTGCGGTTGGTAGCGGCGGTGAAAATTCAAACTTCCATTTTCCTCAGGACAACCGACAAACAATGACCTATCCATTTAAATAACAAATGGAAAGTAAATTCAGGCTATGTAATTTTGGATTTGGATAAAAATCCTTGTATTTTGCTTAAATAGGGATTACATTAAAAAAACATCTCGTGTCATTTTTGACTTTTTGCCAAAATTTAACAAAATGGATTATATTTTTGTAATAACCTAAAAAAAACTGAAATAATTACAATAAATGGATTGCGATGAAAATATTACAGTGTCTAAAATATTAACACAAAATGGAGTTTGTTACCTCCTTATTTATTGGTCAGTAAATTCCTTTGATGTATATTTGAACAACAAGGGAAATTTTTGGACAGGGAAATTTTGTGCGGATCGATTAAAAAGCTTTAGCAAAAACTTACAATTGAAAGAGGACGTTTATTATGCAAGAATAAAGCATTGTTTAACCGAACAACGAGAAGACTACAGGTATGAATTTAAAAATGGATTTTTCTACTGGAAAAAGAAACTCGATCTTTCAATAATTATAGAAGGATTTTTACCGTTAGATCTGGAAGAGAAAGCAACTAGTTCTGCGACTAATTTAATTGAAGTTTTATTGAAAATAAACAGGAATCTTAATTATAGAGTTACAACACTCAATTCAAAATTAAGACTTATAAAGCTTGATTATGTAGAACATTTAGGAGATACGGAACAATTTATAAATTTGAAAGAAAAAATGGAAAACTATGTGTGTCAAAAATTCTTAAATTTAATCTACTTAAAAAAATCAAAAATAAATATGATTGAACCAGATACAGTTATAGACAGTACAGCAGAGATTGTAGTCAACAATGAAGAAAATTTGCCCGCAGTAAACTAAGTATAGAAACAGTGAAATATATTCTTCCACATTGAAAGTAAAGAGAATCTTACTATCTTCTACTTACTTCAATAGGTATTTTGAAAAACAACAATTTTTCAATCTTACAGCATCGAAATCTTTAAAAAGAAAGTAAACATTCGTAAAAATATCTAATAACGTAGTATGTTACTTGTTGCTTATTGTAATTTTAAAATACATATTTCAAGAGCATAACAAATAATATTTGTCTTAAAATTATTGTTTAATACAAATTGTGCGACCTTAGTAATACATTTGTTGAAACCTACCATTGTTTCATTTTTAAATATATTTGCTTAGCTGGACAGCAGACCTGGAATACTGGAATACTAGAAATAAAAACAATATTATGAACTTATTTTCTTTAAAAACAGATTTTTATGAGCATTTAGCTTTTATCAATATTAAGGCCCTAAATAATAATACAAATGAGTTCTATGAAAGTATTGAAAGTAACTAATTTTTTAATGTAGACAATACATATCTCTTTATGGCTCTACACATTTAAATTGATTTATTCTTTGGTTATTTTTCTTTGCCTTTCTTTGACATTGACATTTTCTTGATAACTTGGCATTTTTTTATTGTAAATATAAATAATGATTAATCGTGAAACTATAACTATATTTTTGTTTTATAAATTTTATTGTGTTATTACTTATTATATTTATTAAGGTCCAATTTAGGTCAAGAGTTAATGTACAATTTCCGAATACCATTTTGTAATCTTACCTAGTTTTATGTTAAGATAGATACGTTGCCAAAGTTTTTCTTCCTTATTTTTGCAACAATTGAAGATATAGTAGAAATATTATAACTGTTTACATTTTAATGGTATTATGGAGAAAGATGATACAACTGTGACAAAATTCGCTTTAGATGAAATATCCATTTATGCGAAAATTAATTGGTTAAATACTGACACCAGTGTGTTCCATATTAAAATATACGATGACACTAACACTTGGTCCGGTTCTTTTTCTAAGGAATTGGCCGAAGAATGCAGAAGAGATGTTTTAGAAAACGAAGATGTTTATTTAACAAATGTTAAACTATGCTTATCTTGTCCCAATGATGAGTATGTTTACGATTTTAAGACATTTGAAAACACTGCTACATTTAAATGGATAAAACAAGCGAAATTAGTTCATGGATATGTAAATTTAGATAAGGATGTTTCTGCAAGTAAAAATGCATTGATTGACTATCTTATAGACAAAACTACACTACAAAAGAAAGAAATAACAACATTTGACCAAAGAATTAAAGAAATGAGACTGGAAATTGATGGATTGAAAGAAGAGCTATCTAAGTTTGCAGAAACCAAAATAACTATGGAAGAATGCTTGTATGGAAAATTTGTGTCAATTTTAAACACAAAAAAATCAAGAATACAGTTTTTAGAAGATCAATTGAAGAATTATGAAAAAATATAATACATTGTTATGTTCAATACTAAAATTAGAAGAGCAAAAAAGTTTGTCTAAGACAGTCAAGTTTGTTATACAAACAAAGGTGATTCTTGGACTCTAGTTTTAATGTGCCAAACCCGAAATTATGGAGTCCACGCCTCCAACAATTATTAGTTCTTCCCAATAATGGCAAAAATATAAAGATTATAAAATAATCAATTAATAATTTATTAAAAATGTTTTTTTACAAAAGCGTATCAAATTATTTTGTTTAATAGCTCCGTCCAAATAGTGTTATGAACTTGGGCTTGTTATTACACTCAGGATGGATGCAACGGTCATCTTTTGTGAGTTCCCTTGGTTGCTTGAATGGTATACAGAGAGACTTGGCTCCCATAGCTGGTCCCTTCACCTCCGCTGTTGTGTCATCATCCGTCTTGGCACTGTCCCCCTTGATCCGATCCTCACATGGTATATCACCGCAGAATGGTGCCAACAATATGTGCTTCTGTTCCAAAGCTGCCACAAAATTTTCCCATTTATTCACAAGAGACAATCTTGAATCCCTTTCTTTTGTAGCCCTGAGAAATAATCCATTTTTAAATCAATTTTATGGTTGGATAACATGCAAGTATGGATAGACAATGCTCAAAATCAGCAGTGGAATACACCATTAATGTCACCTGACCAAAACTATTGATGCCAGTGCAAGTCCTACTGTACTGGCATAATGTACCAAGCATTAGTCTTAATAAAAGTATCTCTCTCAATATATAAGGTTAGAAAAATTAAATAAAAACTACTAGCTTTTGCAGATATATGGTTATAACACATGGCAATAAATTTAATCAGAATATTATTAAGAGGAAATTGCTTGGATGCACTCCAGTGGATTAAACTGTGATGCAACCTAAACATATCTGCTAAGAAATTTAAAGATATATGTATAGTTAACAAGCAGTGGGCTAGCATGCTTGACTATCAGTCAGCACTAAGGTTAGGCTCCGAGTCACTTAGTTGGGATGTATACTGAGCTGATATAAATTCCACTTACTTTTCAAACATTTCAGCATGTGTTTGTTCCAATAGTGCTGCCAGTTCAGTGGCAACTGCTTCACGTTTGATAGTACGCTTGGCACCGTCAACTCTCCTCACCGCTACCACCTCACCACGAGACATGTCTTTAGGACCCAACTCCACACGGATAGGTACACCCTAGTAATGGTTTAAATCATTTAATATCAAATCAATATGTACATGAACAAAATATTCAATATAATTTAAATTTAAGAGAATTTGTAAATGCGTTGTACTTGGTATGCACTAATAGAAGATGTTCCCCAACCTATATGTCCCATCCCCCATTTTTTTTTTTTATAATAAAAGTGTGCAAACGAGCGGCATGAACACCAAGGTGGTCATCGACGCCCATGGACATCCGCAACACCAGAGGAAATACAGATGCGTTGCCGGCCTTTGAGGAAATGATAAGCTCGAATAAATAAAATACACTTCCCCTTCCCATTCTTTCCTTGTACTTGGCTGGAATGAACTTAAATGGGGCCTTATTATATCTTAAATGTGTCAAGTTCAATTTCATAGTTTAATCATTAAAAAATACATCTATACTAATATTATAGATAAAAGGTTTGTATTATTGTATATATTGGAGTAACTCAAAAACTACTGAGCCTATTTCAAAAATTCTTTCACTATAGAAAATACGTTATCAGTGAGTAACATCGATATTTTTTTGTTGTTTTTAAATTTCACTCGGACAAAGTTGACAGGATTAAAATTTTCTTACCTTCAATTCCCAATGGTTAAACTTCCAACCCGGTGAATAATTGTCTCTATAATCTCCTTCAGCTCTGACCCCGCCTTTGATAAGTTCATCAACCAGTTCCTTACAGGAGTCTATCAATGTTTTCCGTTCTTCAGGAGAGCTGGATGCTGTGATGCCGCAAGGGACCACCACAGCCTGGACCTCAGCGACACGGGGAGGCAGGACTAGACCTCGGTCGTCTCCGTGTACTAATATCATCACACCTGATGGAAGAAAACCCATCTAAATTTATAGCACGCCTGTAACTTAAAGGGTTAGCAGAAACCATTCAGATATGTAATCGTTAAATCTTACTATTTTAAAGCGACAGTGTGTATGGATGGATGTTTGTAGCCTAAACTGCTGAATGGATCTAGATGAAATTTGGCATAGATGTAAGGGATAGTCTGAAATATCACATAAGCTACCTACTTTTTTACGGAGTCGGGGGCGAAAGTTATTTATGAAATAAATTTATATTGATATTTCATCAATGTAAAACAATTAAATAAAATAAAACTTAGAAACCACATAAACATAAAACTTAGAAAACATATTTTAATAATAATTAGGATTTTTTCCTTTTTTTTAAATCCAAAGCTTGTAGTATTTGATAATATTACCAATAGTTCTGGTGGTGATGCCCCACGAGTTTTGGTACACGTACTTCTTCTCCTGCGTGTCGGGGTCGTCGTACACGATCTCGAACATCTTGGAGAAGTTCTGTCCGAGGTGGTGGCTGGTCGCACCCTAAGGGAAAAACCTTTATTAGTAACTTCTAGATGTGTGTAGGACAGTACTGAAGAACTCAATAACAATAAAGTTTATTTTATACATCACTAGTAGTTGCACGCGACTTCGTCCGCGTAAATTCCAAAATTAATAATAATCACATCCTATGCTATATTCATTGATAACGTAGTTTTTAATAGTGAATTTTTGAAATCGGTCAAGAAGTTTTTGAGTTATTTCAATATATACAAAAATACAAATCTTTCCTCTTTAGAATAATAGTATAAATAAAATAGCGAGCGGCCAAAATAGCGAAGCAGAGAAAACATACGTATGTATTTTTTTAGTATAAAATGCCAAACGAATAAACGGCCATCTAAGTAATTTGTCTAAAATAGGGAAACGAGCGCCATAGAAAAAAGTTGTCGACGCGTGGCCTTCAATGGAGGCCCACAGAGAATATTTCCCCTTCCAATCTATACCTCTGCCGAGCCCATTACCTGTATACCACGTCCGCTGG